GCTTTGAACCTTGTTTTGTTTTATATAACTTCATATGGGCGTGTAGAGTTCTGAATGCTAGCAATATTCATACACTTACATTAAAAATTAAGGATCCGCTCAGAGGAATTATGCCGATAATTGTGTTAATACTTCAAATCAATTTTCTCGGGCGTTTCACCACGGTTCTTTTAGCTTTTGATGCTCAAATGGCAATTTAATCAAACTATGGCTTGAAGCCATAGGAGTACCAATAGTGCATTTACTCGTTAAAATATTTTGCACCCTTCTCATCAATAATGGCCTTTCAGAGCCACGTATACCTTAAACACCTTTGCAAAATATCCTACAAATGAGTCCGGTCGCCGCAAGTAAGCCAACGGCGCAATAATCAACTACCAAAGCTAGTTTCATGATGCTAGGGTACAGCAACCTTCCCTCTAAGAGCCGTTTAAACACACTATGGTCACAAATTCACAGCTATTAAAATTCAGTAGTATTTAACTTCTGAATGTCAAAATAATAATGATTTGATCGTATTTACATAGAAGTTCTTCGTCATCGTCGCTCCTTAGCTTCGGAATCGGAAAACAGTTCGTTATTTCCAAACGACTGCCCTCTTCGCTGTCGTCTGCGACGATTAGACCGGTAAGGTAACCTTGCGCTATTTCAGTTGAACTCAACTGACGCTCTTTCTCACAGTTTCTTATGATCTTCAGCACAACCTGAAATAACGCACGATTAAAACAGGAACTCCTAAGTTATTCATTTACCAAGCTTGAAACCTGCACTTGGTTTATTCTTCCGGCAGGCTTTCGATAACCCTGTGAGTCTGGGGCTAAAACCTGATTGTAGGAAGTCATTCTAGGACTTTCTAAAGGACAATTTTCAGTAAGAAAAGTTATGATGTAGTTAACATTTACCAGCACTGACTATATTTCTCAATCGCCCTTAACTGATTTTGGGTTCACTTAATAATGTTTACTCTTATTACAGTACTAAATCTTCTCGACTAAAGAACTCGCATCACAACTCATTTCGGACAAGGCGGAGCAACCTACTTAATTTAAATTCGAAAGTAATTTGGAGCGGTAGATTTTGCAGCAACACGCTGAATGATTAAACCACCTACTACCCTAGCAATCGTTTTCTCTCCTTCACACTATAATCTAAATTTAAAGAATGATAAAGGCATCCAATTCTTATTGTTCTATCAGCCTATCTTCTCCAAGCTTTCACTCAAATTACAGGTGCGAACTTTTTCATATATACTGTTATCTGCGAAGCAGTATGAAGGGACTAAGGTACTTGTCTTTAAGCCTCTACATGTATTTATCTTCATCTATCATCAACAGTGCTTGATACTGACGTAAGGAGCAAGATCCCAGAAAAAAGATTGAGAAATGAGGTTCCTTTGAAAGAATGCTGATGTGACAAGAATCGAGAGATCTCGAACACGACAGTTCAGAATATTCTCAACAACGAGACATTTCTTCGCCAGGTAAAGAAATCACAATTGTAATCGTTTAGAAATTTGATGAGGATGGTACAAGACTGCTAAGAAGCACTATATTCGCAGTATTATAAGGATGCCGATATCTTGGATGATTTAACAGACGCATCAGTTACGCAAAATATTTGACAAGATCACGTTTCAAAATACATACTACTGAGCTGTAACGGTTTAACGACCGAACAAACTGAAAAGCAGAGCGCTTCCCAAATCAGGAATCCATCGGATTAAACAGGAATAGCGGGTTTTGAAAATGAACGAAATTTACATTTGGCCCCATTTTTCTTGAAAGCGTATTTCAAAGATAATAGTAACTGTCAATTTTTTCATCAGTTTACATCGTTGGTAAAGTCTTCATTTAGCTAACGAAGCTGTATGACATTCCTTACAACATTCTACCTCCAATTTTTTTCTTTTCTCTTCCTTTCTACTTTTAACCTTGTGAATCACACTGCTGGCGTAGTTCCAGTCTTTTCTTCAAACAGTGAACGAGTGCAGTCCTATTTCTAGAGGCTTTCCTGTTACAAAATAATCCAAACATATACATCACTTACGCTGTTTTGGACACGGTTTTCGATGACAACATCACAAATCGTTTGAACATTTGCATCTTTACAGATTCTAGCTTTTACCTATGTCTTCTGGGTACACGTACTCAGTTCTTGTCTGTCTGACCCAAATTATCATGTAAACCTATGGTACTCCTGCACAGCTTAAAGGAGTATTTTGCTTTCATTTTCAGGGATCAATCGGGTCGTACTATAGGGATAAATGTACAATAACTTCGAGAACAAGTACTTCGGTACTTTCACGGTGGACAAACCGCAACAAAGATAAAAAACAATTTAAATTCTTCAGTCGTTCTTTCCCTAACTTCGTTTTAGTCGATGAGGTACCTGAGTTGCCGGAACCTGTAAGGTACCACCTTATGACAGCTTCAGCTGAGTTCTAACTTAATGATGCTGAACAGTTCAGAAGTGCTGTATGAACATATTTTTTCCTCACAACACACACTATGCTAAAAATAAAACGTTGACGCTGAAGATATGGTCATGTTCAACGCATTCAAGCAACAAAATACATCAAGGCTAATTCAAAACAGCTCCCTAAAAATCAATGCTGCATCAAGAACTGAAAACCGTACAAAAAAGAATAAACGCAATATGGTGAAACCCGGAAAATCACACAGTTAACAAGCACAAATCAGCTGGATATCTAAAACGATGTTCCGTACGATTCGAACACGTTTTAAAGTTTACTTTACAGTTGACACAATTTTCTTTCCCCATGATAACAGAACACCTGCACTTGCAGTCATTCTTGTAATAACAAAGGAATACGTTCGAAAACTCTGTAAGCTTCATAGTAATAAAATGATTATAGAGCTTTATTACAAAAATTTTTTCCTATTTTAATTATTTTCGACCAGTCTATAAGATTCAGAATCGTATTTGCGCACTCAATTTGTATTCACCTTAAAATTTCTAAAAGAAAGGTAGGAGTGGTTAAAACCAACAACCTTCAGGAATATTCAGAAAAGATTTAGAAAAAGACAGTTCACGGATCACATCAAATAGTCAAATTACAGTAAAACATCTACAACACTAACGAAAGTCATGTACGTTTTTGTGCACAACGAGAATATGGGAGTTAATAACGCCTCTTACATAAGACTGAAAATTTGAAACGTGAAGGAAACATTTTCTAAAGGTTTGAATGTCGCACATCTTTACAATTACATGACAGAACCAAGTCTAACTGGCTTTGAAAAAGTTAAATTTTAGAATCTATACTATAATGCCATATGCAAGATATGACTTGTTTTAAGAGGCGGAATCGACAACAGTAATGCGACAACCAAACTTTTCCTATTTTCTTCCTACTATGGTTGTACTAATTTATTAAATTTATAATGAAGGAAGTGAACGCATCTAAAACGAAAAGCCTAGTGCTTTCTCGTTCTCCTGCCCGTTGCTCTCTTCAGATTAAC